GTGGCACTTGTGAATTTAGAGATTCAAGGAGAGTGATTATATATCTCTTGTAAATTGCAAGGATCTATCCCAGGTATAGCTAATTATGGACTGTTTGACATGGCATTGAAATGCAGATTAAAAGCTTACAGAAACCTCATAGTAGAAGTGTAATTCTAACCTGTGTCTGTCCTGAATGGTCTCTATCAAGTCAATAGTTCTTTTTAATATTCTAATTAGATTTTTATCTTGATCTTTCTCAGATACTGGTATCTTGGGCCTCTAAAAACCAAAGCAGCTCACTTTTTCAGCACTCTTAAGGTAAATACAATGTACAATGTAGAAATTTGCTCAATCTTATTTTGCTTTTACTTGCTGATATGTGTATTTGGATTTTTATTTTTGTAATTCCTTGCTACAGGTGTATGTGATTAGCTTCAGTACTAAAATGGGGCAAATTTATTTATATAAATGTAGAAATCATGCATGCTGTTTTGATAAACAGACACCTTCATCTGCCAACTCATTCTCCATTCCAAACCCATTTTCTCTTTAATATTCCACTTTCATTCACTGCCTCTTTTCAGACACACCTTGAACAGAATGACCTCCATATCATCAATTATTTGTAAATGTGTCTACATTAGCATCTGGAAATGAAGATTTGCATCTGAATATACCAAATCATACAGGCACAGGTATCCTGTAGCAGGTTTCAAACTGTGCTAGCCAAATATGGGTAGCAGTTAGTCTCCTCCTTGGCACAGACAGAGAATGTTTCCATCCTCAGAGGAAGTCCCATCAGAGGGTGCTGCCGTAGACCATACCCTGAGACGTGGTGGCACTGAGAAAAGCTGAACGATGTATATTAGTGACAATACTAATAGAAAAGTCATCCTTCTGTGTGGACTAGATGCCATCGTCATCTTTTCTGTAAAAGCACAGTTTGGCCAGTTTGAAAGTTGGCAGATGAAATTTGAATGTAGTGAAAAAAGTTACTATTTAAATTATCGGGTGTTTTTCTAATTATAAAATCGACATATGTCCTTTGGAAAACATAGTTCCCTTCTTCCTCTAAATAAAACTCCAGTTGGATTAAAGAATTAAATCTAAAAAATAAACCACTGATGTGCTAGAGGTAGTCAGTAGACGTGATTATTAAAATCAACTTGGGAAGGGCAAAGTCCTTTCTAAACTGATACAAACTTTATTAGTAAAATACGTTATTGCTATTGTTCCAAGGAATGATTTCATTGGCAGAGTAATGAGTGAGTGCATTTAGGAAGAAATGCTTACTTTAATTTGTGGAATCTGAAGAAAATAAGCTGTCCCCAGTGTTTCTTCAGCAATTACTGAATATCCCTAGTGTGGCAGCTGGCTGTATGCCTGGAATCAAAGTCAAATGAGACAGATGTCCTGCCCTCAAGGAGTGCTCATGCACGGGGGTTGGGGGCGGTGGGGAGATACCAGTGAATCTGCAAGAGCTATAAGAAGACTGGAGAGTCCAGCCTGGGGCAGGCGTTTCTGGCTGACTGTCAATTTTGAAATAGGCAGGACTGGATGGAGGGAATTCCAGTGGCGGGCGGGGGGGGGGGGGGGCAGGATGTGTGAAGTCACAGAGGGGGGACATGGGCAGTAACTGTGGCCAATACTGAAGACTGGCAGGAGGCTTGAGGTTAGAGAGGACAGATTATATGGCAGATCTGACTTTCTTCATGAAAGCACTTCGTCAGGGCAATGATATGAACAGATTGGCATTTTAGGGAAATTGTCGGGCAAAGACATCAGATAGAAGGTTGTTAGAGTAACCTGGTGAGAAGTGATGAGGTGTACACTCAATAACAGTGAGTATTGACAGGGATGGATTAAAGAGATGTTGAGGTAGAACCCTCAGAAGTTGGAAGGAGAGTATAGGATTCCCAGATTGCTGGTTTGAAGGATTAGAGTTGGGTAACTACAGTCTTTTATTAATGTTGATAATATTAGAGTAAAATCAAATTTGTGACTACAGATAAAAATTTCAGTTGGGCACATACTGAGTTTAATACACCTTTGGGACAGACAGGTGGAGCTACAACTGCGACTTAGGTCTGGAATTGAGCAGAGAGATAGTTAAATGTCTTAAGCGTCCGCATGGCATTAAAACTATGGGTTTGATGAAGTTACCAGTGAGAACAGGTAGCCAGGGCTAGCCCTAAGGAACGTAAACAGTTCGAGTCAGAGAAGACACTGAGAACAGCTGAGAAAATCTAGGAGACTCTGAGCAAAAAATGGAAGCAAATTCCGAAAAGGAAAGATTTCAAGCAGTATCAGAGCGCGAAGACAGAAAGCAGCATCCATTGAATTTGGCAACCTCTGAAGGTTTGCCAGCCTCCTGGGGGAGGGACCGAAGCTGCATTGAAGAAAGCCAAAGAATAAATGGGAGCGCGATGGCGACAGCGAGGGGAAACCACGCTGTCACGGAAGCGTCACCTTGAAGGAAGGAGATGGAACTGGGGGGGGAAGGTAGTGAGGGAGGCGCGTCTGCGGAGTGTCTTGTTTTTCTCGTTGGAGGGACAGTCATGTCTTTATGCGAAGCAGAAGGATTAAAAAGGATGGGAGAGGCGAAAGGAGACAGCATGGGCAGAGGGCACGGGGGAGCTTGGAGCGGGGGAAGGGACACCTGTTTCCTTGAGTCGGGAGAGCAGTAAAGGAGAGGTGCAGATGAAAACCAGTGTGAGACTTCAGGAGGTTCTTCAGTCTGTCCTGATACTCGGTGAGGTGTCGGAAGCAAGGTGGCCAGTTAGAAGTGAGGCGATGAGGGCCCGGGGGGTTGAAGAGAGATGAAAGGAGGGAGGTTTAAGGGGTCTCAAGTAGCACCGATACCAAGAATTGGCTGGGACACTGACACGCTCCTTTGGGGGATCTTTTCTCCTGTATCAATACTCCACGGGAGTAAGAAGTACAGAAACCCAGTGACAAGGTTGACCTGGATTTGGGGTGCTCCAGGGGACAATGATGGAAGGGTGAAGACACAGGAAGGCTAAGAATAATGAAGAGAGATTTAAAGTTTTTGAGTTGATTGGGCACTTGGGTGGTCAGGGACGGGAATTCCCAGTGTGATGAGAACTTGGTGTGGTTGGGATTTCCCAGCATACTGCCCCTCTCTTCCTCTTCCGAGTTTGAGCCAAGTTATAAAAATAAATAGGACCCAGACAGATGGAGATCAGAACATGAGCTTTGTAAATGGCAGCGGGAGGGAGGGACGCAGCTTAGATATGGAGTCACAGGCCGATTTTCTAGCACTCCGGATTGAATTACCCACTGACACGGCTCCTTCGGGGCAGCCGCAGCGGATGTGCAAGGCCCTGACAGGCACTTTCTGAGAGAGGGCGGTGAGAGCCAGAGCGGGGCAGGGGCTCCCCAGTGGTCTTTCTGCGCTTGGGGAGGAGTGAGGGAGCAAGAGGGTGGCGTCTTACTCATGTGTGATAGCTGTTGCTCGCGTGACCGTTGTCACTCTTGTAGCTCACGCCATGGAAACTCCAGCAGACTGGCTCATCCCAAGAGAACCAGAAGAGTAGGAGAGTGGAGGGTGTGGCTGGAGAGGAGCATGCCGAGGTTTTAGACTTGCCAGCTGAGTAGTTCTGGGTAACAGTAAGGACCAGGATGTGGCCACGGAAGCGGGCAGCCATGGTGGTTTGGAGGTGATGCCAAGGGCTGAGGCAAGGCGTTGATTGAATTATTCCTGTGAAGTTGATGTGACTCGACAGGACACTGGACTTGGGTGTCAGGAAGTAGATGGAGACGGAGAGAGTGAGAATGTGAACTTTGAGGCAGGACTAAGAGCTTAGGGCTGCAAAGCTGGGCCAAACCATTTTGGCCTCTGCCCCCCTGTGAGTCCAGAGGGAAGCAGGTATTTAATGCCGTTTTATCAATTCCATTTTTGTGTCATCGGCTGCAAACAAGAGATACTTGGATCGTGAAATGAGTCCACTTTGTGTCCTTTCTGTCCTATGTTAGGGAGACCGTTGGGCACTGTAATCCCTAAGGTCATGGTTTGCTAGAGAGGCAAGAAAGGCGGAGTTGAGTTGTCTGTGCTCCAAATTAGACATAATTCCATCCAGTGAGGAGAGGTTCCTGGTGGCTTTCTAGCATATATAGGTGGAATACTAAATTTGGCAGAGAGGAACTTCCAGAGTCTGGGATTATGTGTGCATGACCAGTTTTCTCTTGTCTTACTGAAAGGAGTGGCCTCAGACACATCAGGCCTGTATTTCGTACACGGGACCTACGGAGAGACCCCCCAGTGGAACGGCGGAGACTTCCCCAAGGCCCTCCCTGTACAGGAGGATACTGCGCAGGCTTGCGTCCTACTGGGCCCAGCCGCAAGACGGTGAGCAGTGGAGACCAGAGACCGCCCCACACATGAGCCTTAATAGAGCAGGGGCAGCCTCAAGGACCACAGAATTCAGTCCCTGTGCCCCTCAGAGCATGGCCAGACCAGCACGGGGTCCCAGGGGAGGAGGCAGCCTATATGGCTTGTGACAAAGGGCTCTTGTTTTGTGTCACGGACCTTCCTGTGACTGTGGTGCCTTGGTAGCTGTCCCGGGCAGTGAGCTTCTGTTTCAAGCCTGGCTCTTTATGTTTACTTGAGGAGTATGAAGTAAAGCTAAGGTGGCCAAGTCTCCGGACGAGCTTAGGGGCTGCGCTGAGCAGCTGGAGGCTACCGTGGTAGAGTGAGGTGTTGCTGGACGAGACTGACCTGCATCTCATTCACACAGCCCTCTCCCAGAAGGTGAGGCCGGAGGACTGGAAGGAAATGCAACTGTCCACCATCGAACTGTCCATCACCACACGCAACAGCCATCTTGACCTTACGGTAAGCGAGCGTTCTCATAGGAAAAGCGTTGGGTATCTGGGGAAAGTGATGTGGTCTACACACTTTTCTCCTAATTCAGTATTTTGTTTTCACCCAGTGGGGTTAGAGAGGAAAGGGGGGTGCAGTGTGCCCTTGAGGGATGAGAGCAATGAGAAGAGACAGTGGCCTGCGGGCAGCAGGGCCTGGTCTGGGTGCTGTGGAATAGCCGCACACACTCTGCCCTCAAAACTAAGGGCAAAAGAGCTTTAGAAACAGGCACAGGAGGAAGAAATTGTGGAACCTTTACTTGAGTAAATATCCATTATTTTTGTGACTGTGTTTAACATGTCAAACATTTCCTGCCCAGGAGAAACATGTATCTACTTCTACATTTTGGTATCTATATTTACAATTTTTTTGGCTCTGGGCTATTGACGTGCCCTGTCCACTACCATAGCCACTAGCTACACCTGGCCATTTCGGTTTAATTAGAATGATGTTAAAAACTCATTTCTTCAGTCACAGGGGCCACATCTCAAGGGCTCGGTAGCCAGGTGGCTGGTGGCCGCGGTGTTGGCACCGTGTGTGCCGCAGGCTCTGCTGTAGCTGCTGCTCTAGACGACCCCAAAAACCCAGCAGAACTGGGCTGGTGGTACACTGGTCGCCCCCTGCTTCCATGTGGCCCACATGCCAAGAAGTAATTTCCCCCTTTTAAATGATTGGAAGAAAATCAAAAGTAAAATAGCTTGTCATCCTTGACATTCAAGTGTCAGTATCCATAAACACAGCGTCATGGGAGCAAAGCCACTGCCTGTGCCGTGTCCAGGCCGCAGTGCAGGGTGGGGAGCTTGCAACAGACCATGTGGCCTGAAAGCCCAAACAGTTACTGACAGAGAAAAAACCGTGTAAATGAGAATGCCATAGGAAGGTTATCCTTAACGGGACTAATTGCTACGTTCAGTTTTCATGCACATACAAGTACTCTGTTCATAATGGATCTGAGTCTGCAAATTGGCACATGCAGCTGAATGTATGCGTGTGGTGAGATGCGTGTGGAGAGAGGCTTGATTCCAGTATTAATATTCAGAGTGATTTCTCATTAATGCATGTCCATTGCAAACCATTTGGATAGCATAGCTCCCTTCTGTTTAATTCCAGTTGGATTAAAGAGTTAAATGTAAATACATGAAACCATTAAAGCGTTGGAGTGAAAGCTGATTAGCAGTATAAACTTGGATGGGACAGGCCTTTCTTAGCCTGGCAGCTGAGGCGAAAGTCATGTTGATATTTTTGTGTACTTATGCAAATTTTTAATGACAAATTGGGGGACATACTAGGTGACAGACCAGAAGTTAATAGCCTTCCTTTGTAAGAAACTCTTAGGGTAAATCAGTAAGAAATGAGCAAAGGAGTAATACACAACAGGAAAATGGTAGGACTAGGAAATCACAAAGGAAATAAACATGAAAAATAAGATAGATGTTTGCTGAGTATTGGCTGCATGCTGGGCCCTGTCCTAAGGATTTTCCAGAATCTCACCTCTTGTTTTCATCCTACCTACATTATGAGGTTGATAGAACTTTTGTCTGCATTTTATAGGTTAGGAAACAAAAGCTTTCAGCATCAAAGAAATACAAATTAAAGTAGTAACTACCACACTGTCATATATTAAAAAGTGTGCTTGTGGTCGCTGTTTCTCTGATGGGAATATAAATCTGAGCACCCTTTCTCAATGGTGTCTTCGCATTATGTGTGAAGCTTCTAGAATATGAGCCTACTCTTGGTCCTGTTTGGTATGTTTCTGGGAATTTATCTTAAAGAAATCAGATGAATACGTAATGTAGGCAGTCCCTTACTTTCTAACATAATGGATTCTGAAAACACTGGTGAAAGTGAATATATTAAGGTTTAAAAAAAATACTGTTCCAGAGGAATTTAAAAAAGATAAGATTTCTAATTATACATTTTCTTTATACCCAATAGCTGATAGTAGGTATTTCCAGTATTTTATGTTCTTTAACCTTGTGCTTTTCTCTGATGATTGCAAACCAATGAATGGGTTGAATTCAGTGAGTAGGTGATTGCAGTTCAAGATTAGCCACATTCACAATGCCGAGTGCTGTTTATCTTTGTGACAATTATGAAAGGAGGTGACACTGCTGCTTATCGCTCGTCTCAGCACATTCATTTGCTTTTCTCCACACCTCTTTATAAAAATAAAAGCAAATGCAGTACAATATTCAAAGACAATGAAGCTACCATGCAGTAGCTCAAAATGTTCATTTTTCATTAAAAAAAAAAAAAGTATATTCACAATCTAAGAGGCTTTTGGGGTGTGGACTCTATGAAAATTAGCATCTCCTGTACAGCTGTGTTCCCTGTCTAATAACAAAAAACATGAAACAAACTGATGAGGCGACTGATTAAATACACCTTATATGTGAATTTAAAATCTCTCGGTATTTACTGACCTAGAAAAATGTTCCTATATTGTTAAAGGAAAGACTAGGTTAAAATGACATGTATCAGCTGGTTCCATTTTTATTTTAAAGATAAATACTCCCACCTACAATTGAATTTTGTGAATGATGGAGGCAAGGCTCCAGCTTTATACTCTTTCCAAATAGAAAGCAGTTGTCCAAGCACCTTTTACTAAAATGTCCACCCCATCCCCGATCTGCAGTAAGAGCCGTGTCACGTGTCCAGTGTCTGTGCGCGCGGAAGTGTGTCTACGGCTGTTTCTGTTGGCTACACTAGTACTATGCCTGTCTCAACAGTGTTTTATAATAAGTCCCTGTTTTTCTTCTTTGCATTTCTTGGTTATTCTTCCTCTTTCACTGTAAGCATTAGAATGTTTATTGAGCTCCACATAAATATGTTATAATATTGATCAAGATTACATTGACCTTGTTGATCAATTTGAAGAAAAATGACATTTCTACAACATCGGCTATTACATCAATGTGTCATAGCTCTTCATTTATTGAGGTCTTAAATGTCTTTTAATGAATTTTTATAATTTTCTCTGTCACATTCTGTTTCTTGCTGGCTACCTTAATTTTTTATGCTGTTGTAAACAGTATCTTGAAATTTCTTTTTTTTAAATATTGATTTAGCAGATGGGCATGTAACTGACTTTATGTTAATGGTGAATTAGCAACCTAACTAAATTCTTACTAATTTTATCTGTGGATTTGATTTTTCTATAGATGTAGTCTTATCAGCTACAAATAGTGCAAGTTTTGTTTTTTTTCCCTTTCAAATACTCAGCTTCTACTCTTTCATCTTAACCATGTTCGCTAGGACGGCAGCACAGTGCTGAGTGGTAGTGGATATAGGTGGTGTCATCGTCTTATTTAGAGGTTTTGTGTGCTAGTCCCTGACAGTGAGTCAAAAAGGAGTGGTGTGAAAATGTGTAGGACCAAAGTCTGTGGTTGCAGCCATTGCCGTGTAGCTCAGTCCTTCCAGTGCTTTCTGTGGTTGGGAATGGAATGTGTTTAAAATAAAACATCACTTTGACATAAATGGATAGCTGCTCTTCAGCTCTGGTTACATACCAAATTTGCATGCAGAGCATTTAAGGAAACACAACTGCCTGGGCTCTGCATGCCAAGAAGTCGACCCAGGAGGTGTGTTGTGACACTGCTGAATGTGAAGCTGGAGACTTGCTGGGGTAGGGGGGCCTGGAAGCCTGGGGGAAAGGGGCGTCTCAGAGCAATGGAGCTGAATGTTGTGTGTAGCTTATACCTCAACAAAGGTCTTAAACTGTAAAAGCAGAAACAAAAGGGCCGAAAATGACCAGGATTATCACTGGTAGCCAAGTGCACTGCATAACATAGCTTCCAAGTATGGGCTCCAGGGCCCGAGGGGGACGACAGACACCTCAGCCCAAATCTAGCGCCTTAACCTTAGTCTTCCCAACCCTTTCAGAGCAAAGAAGACTTCATGAACATCTGCGTGGAGCCAGACACCGTCAGCAAAGGAGACTTTATAACTCTCGGGTGAGTGGGCTGGGGTTTGTAGGAAATGACTCTCGCCCTTTCTCTTCTCACACTTGACTTCCGAGCACCCTGTGAGGTCAGTCCCGCCTCCTTTGGCCTTCCTGTTGGTGTCACGGAGACCAGAGTGTGGAGAGCAGGGTCTGCCTTTCCGTGCGATGAAAGCATTCAGCACAGCATGCTGCAAGGATTTTGGCTTCAGGGTCAAAATTCTGGATGCAAATCTTGATCCTGTCACTTACTGACCTCACAACTTGGACAAATTCTTTAACTGTCATTTCTGAAGCCTTTTCGTTGTGTATAGAACGGCATAGTCTGTATCACGATTGCTTTTGAGTTTGAAATGAGGTCGTATGGGGAAAGTCTTTGTATAATGTGAGGCCCTCCACAGTATGTGCTCACGTCAGTCCACCTTGTCCAGTTCCCAAGGCGTCCATTAAAAGCCTGAAACGTTATTGAAAACCTTGGACGTTTTCCAAGCCCCTTTCGATGCGCAAGCATCCTTCCAAGCCCTGATTGGCTAAGCCTTACCTTGCCAGAGTTTGATTGGTTCAGAAGGCTCGCAATCCTCTGCTGGCCTCAAAGCCTGAGCGGCATGTTGCCATGTCAACCGGCAGCCTGGGCACGTGTGCTTTGTCCGCAGCGCCCTCTGGCGCCCAGTGAGAGCTCCGGCCTCTCTGCTGCGGCCCCTGGTCTCCGTGGCAGCTGCAGCGCCTGCACCCGCGCCGCAGCATAATGTCCTTCCTTAGCTTGTGTGATTCTCGCCTTTGGTACAGCCAGATCCTTCAGATGCAGAGTAGGGGACTCTTTGGCCTTTTATATACAGGCTCTATCTGTAGTCGAAGGCAGGAGGGAAAAGCCACGCCCTTCAGCTCGTGTACGCTGGGAAGTACACAGTGTTGTGGGCCCGGGCCAGCTAAATTTGAATCTCATTCATAATGTGGACATCCACAAGAAACTCAGTCATACTGCTGAAGTTGGGGGATCACGGTGTCCTTGCCAGCGGCGGTGCTTCCTCTCCGTCCTGCAGGAAGGAACTCTAGAAAAAGTGGCTCCCTGCGGGTGTCTGTACAGACCCGGTGGAGCTGCCCTAGAAAGGCTGGTGAGCTTCATCTACTAAAGAATTACTGTTGTCAAGTAATGATAAAGGAATTAATTCATTTAGTCCTGCACCAGCCGTGACTCGAGCTATAATGGGTGTCTTTGCATGGGGTGGGGGGTATTGCTAGTTTGTATTTAAAGAATAATCTTTTAAAGAAACTCTAGGTAAGTCTGTCACATTTGCCTATATATTTAGAAAATCCTATAGTTTTCATCCATTTAGTCAAAGCATGTCTCCAAGTAATAGTCACTCCACAGCAACTCCATTACAAAAGTTCACTGTGTCTCCTAGGGAATTTCATTTCATTCTAATGTTTAAATTTGGATATTGAACAACCCAAGGACTAGGTACCTATGGAACTATTTACAGCGAAAAATTCAGAGACAGTCACCCAGTCGTCACTGCCTGTCCACTTCTGCACAGCAAGTAAACCATCTGGGACACACCACAGTGCCTCAGAATCACGGTGGGGAAGTAACTCATAGCACCCCACGGTGCTCGCCTAGTCAGTCTCGTCAAAAATGGGGAACCTGCTGCTGCTCCAGCCTGATGCGGCCGTCAGCGCTGGTTTCCAAACCTGCCTTTCCCTTGTGCCCACAGAAGTAAGAAGGTGAGAGACCCGGAGCTGCATGCCGCGGGCACCGAGTGTCTCCACGCCAGCCGGTGCGCCCTGCTAATTCCCGAGGTGAGCCGCGCGGCCCCTTCCCGGCCTTTCCCCCGCCTTGCCCCTCCTCTCGCTAGTGACAGACCCTCGTTCAGGCACTGAGGAGGTGCCAAGCGCTGTGCCAGGTCCTGGCTTAGAGGGAGACATGGAAAGATGACAGGTTCCCTTCTCAGAAGACGGCCGGGGCATCTTCAGGTTTCGTTCGCATTTGAACTTTCATTCCCCCTCGTGCATTTTTGAGATCATGTTGGTTACAGCACTGAGACTTGGGGGTGCAGCATCACGCCTCTGCAGGTGCGTGTCACACCACCAAAGCAGCCGCCGTCCCTCCCCTCTGGGACTCCGTCCTGCAGTCAGATTGCTGTGGCTGGTGTCCTTTTAGTTTTGCTGGTTTTTGGTTTCTTTATATTCCAGTACGAGGGACGCCATCTGGCACTTGCCTCTCCTCCTGACTTAGTTTGCATGGCATAATCCCCTCCACGTTGTAATTGGCACGACTTCATCTACTTTTTAATAGCCGCGTCTTGGCCCGCTGTGTACATAAACCACACCACGCCCTCGTGGGCTCCGTCCCATCCCGGGCACATGCGCTGTGGCTTTGCTCGGCCAGGGAAGCAGTGTTGCTCCGGGCCGGGAGTGCTGGTCCTCCTTCAGACCCCCGGGGTTGCCTCTCGGGCAAGTCCTAAAGAGCGGGGTTGCTGGAGCCTGTGGGAGATCTCTTTGTAATATTTTGAGGAACCGCCACGCTGTTTTCCAAAAGAGCTGGGCTTGCCTACATCCCCCCAACAGTGTAAGAGCACCCCTTTCTCTCACGCTGTGGGGCGGGAGCTCCTTGTGGCTTTGATTTGTGGTTACCTGCTTGATGACGTGCCTGCTGGCCGCCTGCCTCCCGCGGGTGTCTGTTCAGCGCTCCTGGCTCCTGCCGTTTTCGGGCGGGGTGGTTGCTCCCCGGTAGCCGTTGGAGGTGGGAGGTCTCCTCTCGTCGCCGTGCAGGAGCTTCTTAGTTCGAGGAAGTCCCGCTTGTTTACTTCCGTTTCCCTTTGGCAAATGTTCACAGTGAATGCTGCCTTCAGAGTTTTATGAAGGCATTTTCAGGAGGGCGCTAATTTTTCTGTATTACAAGATGCCAAGCTGAACACAGCAACCCGTCTAAGTGGGGAGGGAGTACCCAGGGCCTCTGAAGCCCGGTGGCTGTTGCACGCCTGTGTCCAGCAGGAACTGCAGGTGTGACAGACGCGGTCCCCACGCAGGCCCGCAGTGTCGTGCTGATGGCCGTGAGGATACGTGCACAAAGCGGCCTGTGTGACCCTTGGCTTTTGTTCACTTGAGCAAGAGTAGGACTGCGAAGGCCATGTGACACTGTGTGTGCCTTCCCGGGCACCGGCAGGACCCATGTCTTTTAACTAGTTGAAAGTGATCACCTTGCTGCTCAAGTGCCAGAAAAACATGAAAACCTGTGCACGGATGGTCGATCCGGGACATCCACACAGCGGCGCGTCCACCCCAGCAGGGACGTGTGTGTTGGGAAGACCATCCGGGCAGGCCGGGAGCGCGGGCAGCGGTTTGAGCCCCTCTCCTCCGCAGGGGACCGAGGGCTCCTTCAGCATCGACAGCGAGGAGTACGAAGCAATGCCGGTGGAGGTGCAGCTGCTCCCCCGGAAGCTGCAGTTCTTCTGTGACCCAAGGAAGAGAGAGCAGATGCTGCAGAGTCCAGCCCAGTGAGCGGGTGCAGTGAGAAGTGGGCGCCCTTTACGCGCCAGTGGGACCACAAGGGGACCAGGCCGCCCCTGCCACTCACGGTGGGTCCATCTGCCCCTCCACTCTCAGCTGTTGCCATGCGCTTCCGTGCTGCGGCAGCTGCTCCCTCCTCCACGCTGACTTCCTCAGGCTGGTTCCAGGAGTTCTCCCTCAGGGGATGGAAAAGGGCCAGGCCTTATTGCCTGGGAGCAGGCCTCACAGCAGCACTTCTCCTGCTTGTTCTGGTCTCTGGCGATCCTAGGGCATGCAGGGAAGGGCTGCCTACCCTCCTATCTGGGTGCTGCTGCCTCCTGAGCTCTGACTCTGTTCCCCTTCTGTCCTCCGTCCAAACCGTAAGTGCGATGTTTTCCCCCTCAGCTGCAGCTGAAACCTGTATGAAAATCCATGCTTCCTAAATGTTGGTTTGCATGAGAACTACTTGGGGTGGGTGCATGTTAAACTGAATCGCTTGGGGCCCAACCCTAACAGCTCAATCCAGGGCTGGAGCCCAGGAAGCTGCATTTTAAAAAACAGAGCAGCCTGCCCTCCCCCCAAGATCCTCCACCTTACCTGGCCACACAGCAAAGCCGCAGTCCACACAGCTCTGCCCAGGGGCTGTCCTGGAAAAATCATGTGCCCCGCCCACTTGTAAGCCGCATCTAAAATTCTCGAAGGGAAGTAAGAGTTGCCAAAGTATGTATTTTCTGGTGTCATGTAAATATTGGTATTTTAAAATAAAACTGTTAACATCACTCCCTTAAACATATTCAGTGTAATTTAAATACATAACAATTTGATGCTCATCATCCATTTACAAAAATAAATTAGCCGTTGAAAAGTTTAAATTGAGTATTTCCAGACCACTTTCAGCAGAGAATGTGGTCCTGCTGTGATCTATTTTTATCACTCAGCCGGTCTTCCAACAAAAAATATAAATGGAAATGTTCTTTATAACACTTTCTGAACTGAGTTAATTATTGAACTATAATTAACACGTCCTTTACAGCTGAGATGGGACAGAAAGAACCGTGGTCACTGTCGCCCGCACCTTGTGGTCCTTCGGCGCGGCCCAGAAACTGGCCTGCAGCTGTCAGCTCGGCTTCACCAGAGCTTCCGCTCCTGGTCGGAAGCAGAGAACTTGAAACTACCTGATGTGTTAGTTTCTGTAGACGTTGTCCTTGTTTGGGGCCCTGTGCGTCTCACCCACTAGCAGGCGGGGCCAGCACAGGCTCACTCAGCAGATGGGGCCCAGGCACCCCCAGGGGCGACAGGACGGGAAGGCAGCGGCACAGGCCAGGCGGGGTCAGCAAGAGCCAGGCTTACCTGTTCAGCGCTGAGTTCGTCCAGCTGTGCTGGGCGCGTCTGGGGCCACCTGTCATTTTTTGGTGACTGTAAGGATCGCCCACGAGAAGAGGCTAAGGTATAAGGAAATGAAGTTTCCACGTGAGCCCAGAGTCCGGTATCTCGGCTCTGTAGTAACACGTCCTGGGCCGGCACAGAATCTGGTTCCTTCCCTGGTAACGCTCCATGCGTGGTGGTTCATTGAGTGATTCTCAGTCACTTTTCAATGTCAGTATGCCCCGGGTCAACTATTTTCCTGCGAGAAAGCGCTTTCATTATTACTTACTCTTTCCGGGGTCCTTCCACAGGATGTCCATAAAAAGGACGTTTCACTGTGCAACATGGACGGCCCGAGTCACCCCCTTCTGTTTAGTATGAACCTTTTGTCAAACTAATTTCACCCAAAAGCCAGGAATATACATAAAGACACACCGTGGCTGTCGGTCCATCGCCCCAAGTCTGACCTGCAGGCCTGGCTGTGAGCCCTGCTCACCGGTGCTCCCCACACGCGGCTGCCCCCGCTCTCATGCCGCCGCGAGCAAGCGGGCTCTGCAACGTGGTCGCGCAGCTTGGAAAGCGGGACCTGGCTTTGGACACAGAGCTACTGATGTACAGCTTTATCCTCAGGGCTGCCTAAAAATAACTCCCCAAGAGGTTAAAAATGAAATGAAATGTAAGCAAGTGTACACACATCTACATACGTCTCGGCTGTACACAGGCCGTTTTCCAGTTACCCTTGACCACAGCAGGCCCCGTGACCCCAGGGCTTCGTTCCCTTGGGCGCCCTCGGCGCTGTCACGGAGCACCGTCCTGCTGTCCGGCAGGCACGCTTGTTCCGACTTTGGTTTCCGTTACCTGGAGAATCCAGATGGGGCCCAGCTCTCCGCGTCCCACTCCACGCGGCAGCCAGGGCAGCCTCGGCCCGCTGCCTTCCGACCGCAGTGCTGAGCCCGGGTGAAGCACCGCAGCACACGCATTCGTGTTAAAATTCCATTTTAATTGTAAAAACCATTTTCTGTAAATATATCAACCTCTGCGCACACCGCTTGGTTCAGATACACAGATACGAAACACAGGTGTCGTCGTGCCACAAAGTCAATTCGAGAAACACTGACTCAGCTTCAGGGCCAGCCACGGATGCCTTTGGCCTCAGAGCACACGGCTACCTCGCAGTAGGATTCGGGGTATGACTTACAAGCTCTCTGCTTCCATATTATGAGGTAAACCCGTGGAGCCAAAATAGATTCCACTTCTTATTGCTATGACCCTTCTGCTGGGGTATGGATCAAAATGGGGGCTTGGCAGTGAAGGCGACAGGGAGGCTCAGCTGATCCTAACCATTCCCCAAGGCTACAACTATTTCTGAACAGATTTCATTGCCCAGACTTACAAAGTTCAGCCAACACACCCAGGGTACGGGAGGTTACTTTTGTGTCTCTCCCCACCCTAAGTCGCCTGCTCTGTGCAGAAACCTGGGATCCGGCCCCTTCAGCATCGTTTGCTCTTCTCTGCCTAATTTGGCTGAAGGACGTTTTCACTTTAAGGTCAATTAAATTTATTAGCAATCCGCTAACTTGGTGACCTGCTGATTGTTCACTTTGCAGCTCATCCTGGCTAACTTACCATGCCCTGCCCCTACCCCACACCCCTCAACCGTCCTTGGAAAGCAAAGCCAATCTGTTATTCGTCTAAAGAGGCAATCTACAGCAAACAGAAGGAATTCACACCTGTCCTCCGGCTATGGTGATTAAATAAATTTTTCTGATTTAATCCTATTTACCTCTAAAAGCCCATACTAGACTGAGCTGCTAGAGTAAACTAATGAGGCAACAGCAGGGCTTTGTTTCTCCATCATTTCTATACAGCACAAGGAATTGCTCATGGGTTTCAACTGCCCTGTACTCTCGCTCCTAAAAGCATTGAAAGTGCCAGTTAGAAAACCACCTCCCGCTCCCCTCCAGGTAGGAGGCCTCACAGCATTATCGCGTGCACCCCTTATGTACCCGAGTTGCACTCACGGTTGTGAGCACCCGCCATCCTACCTCGGACTGTCCAGCGTATCCCAAAGAGCCCTCAGACCTCACAGCGCAGGCTCCTGTCCACGCGCCATTGAAACACCATCTCTGATGGGGTTTCGGCTGCTTCTAAATGACACGACTGCCCGTTTCTTCTACGGTTATAGTTTTGGAATTTCTTTCCACTTCAGCATCTGCATATTCAATTCACCACATAGAAATAGCGATATAAAAATAAACTTCCATTTCTTGTAAGCAGTAACAAGTCACAGCTAGCTTCTCCCACGGCAGTCGCATTCCAGTGGCTCCTGGGAACAGAGGTATATTAGCAATGAAAGTGGAATCGTCAAACTCCACGCCCTGGGAATAAAAGGACGGCTGAACTCCTTGCCTTCCTGCAACGAGGGGACTGAGTGGGTGTTCAGGACCCTCCCTGCGGGCCCTCAGTTGTAGCCGAGTGTGGGGGACAGACAAGAGGCCTGAGCCCATGAGTGAGGAATGAACCCAGAAGGACCTAAAAGCTCCCACGTGACACGCTGGTCCCCAGATTCACCTGCCTGTGTTAGAACCATCGTCACAATAAGGCAATTCATTGTCAAGCTGAACGTGGCCTTTTCATTTTGTTCGCAGGCCCCTCCCCACCTCACCTCTGCCAGGGGGATCTGTTCTGGGAGGTCGAAAGCATCTCAGTCCTTCCCCTGGGCCAAGTAGCTGCGCTAAGTAAAACAATAACAACAAAAACTGGTCCCTGAGGTTGCAGCCTCTTCCTGGAGTTGATGTAGGACCATTGAAAGGTTAATTCATCACTGTCCTTTACAAAAGGCTCCCCAAAGGCCTCTGTTTCAAGGTGAATAATCTCATCTTTTTATTGTGTTGGAAGGGGGCTGGCTCAGGGTGTAGAGAAAACAGCAGGTTCATCCTCACAGCTACCAGGATGAAAAGCAGGACCTCAGCTGTGATTTCCCTTTCCCTTCGCCTTCTAACCACAGTGCCATCCGTGGCTACACGGGGACACGGAGTCTCCATGTGTGGTGGTTAGTCATCTGCACCTTGGGCTACGCTTAATTTCCTTCTGGAATTGCACGTGGAACAAAACCAGGTGAATCACAGCTGCAAGTGCCTGTGCGGAATGATTTCTATCTCGGGGCCCAGGACTTCAGCCTCCTGTCCCAAGCCGAGCGACGACGTGCCTTCTCGCTCGCTGCGATCCGAATGTCCCGAGGGCCCTAAGGCCCAGGCGGACTCTCGTCGGGTGGATCTGCACCAGCCCAGCGAGTGTTTCGTGCTGCACAAAGGCCCACGCTACTTCTGAACAAACCACTTGGCCTGACTTCTTCTCGTGGGAGAGGAGCCCTCGGTTCCGATTCTTGTCCTATGTCCAATAACCCTGGCAGCAAGTTTACTGGGAGCTCATGGCCTCGCTCTCCATTGAGGTTGTGGGTAGCATCCTGAGCTTGCTGATGGATCTAGTTTACCAAGTGCTCAGGCAGTGGCCTCAGAGTCAAAAGTAGGACCCCAAACTTCATACTGCCTTCCCACCTAGGCCTGCCAAGTCTCTAGGATCTTCAGCCACCCACCACCACTTTCTACCTCCCTCTGAATTTTCTGTCTTACTTTCCATATCCCCAGCCCTCCAGCTAAACCTATTTTTATTCATCTTCTGTGTCTCCTCTCTTGTTTTTCATGACCCTTTTTTAATACCTTCTTGCTTCTCAACACTTCCCTCTTTCACACTCCCACTTCTCCCCTATTGTCCACCCCGAATTCATTCATTCATTCATCTGCTCAGCCGCCATCAAGTGCCAATTGCCCCAGTACTGGAATAAACATGAATGATCTCAAAAAGATGAGAATACTGCCCTGTCCTGGGTGCTGCCTAATTCACAGTTCTAGTAAGAAAGACAAATGAGAATGCAATATAACAAGTTCGTAAAACATCCAGGCCCTGGCCTTCTCCTCCTTCCCCAGTACCCTGAGTCCAAGTAAACTTATTTCCAGTGCCAGAAGCTTCTCAGCCTCATCAAGGACAGAGTACTATTAACCCTTATGCTGCCTTGTGCAAACCAGAAACAAGAACCTCTTCTTCTGGAAAAACACATTGTCCTCTTGACTGAGAGTACGAGGGCACAACTTGACCAGCAGCCCATGGCAGTCCTGCCCAGGAGTTCACATCTCATTAAATGATTCTGCTTCTCTGGACCCTCATGAATCTTTGGACAGAAGCAGAAAGATCCTTACAAACTGAGCAAGGTTTCTCTAGGCAGATGAGGGAAGCTCACAGTGTTCCCCAAGCACCACCTGGCATTTCTGTTGTCCTGGCTGGCTGGAGCCCCCTCTTGCTCCTAGGGCTGAATTCCTTCCTTCTCTTCTTCTCCCTAATCCACCGAGGCTGAGGAAGAAAGTGCATTTCTTTTGCCTGTCATCTTTCTGCACAGTTGGAATCGACAGATACTCTGGCAGAGGGATTGGCCCCTCCTCTGACAGCAAACTAGTTCTAGATAAATGACTATTGGTTTTGCTCTGTTTGTTTTTCATTTGTAGCTATCCTTTGATTTTTTTTTTCCCTGCAAAATTGGTTAAGCAATGATAGCATGGTCTGATTC